ATTTAAACTGCAAGATATTATTCCACAAATTACGGAAATCAAACATAAATTACGGGACAAAAACACCGGTCCAGATTATTTGTCAAAACATCCTACTTCCTCTCCATGCGTCGAAACTACATTAGAAGGCAACGAAGAACATTGGCCTCGCGGAACGGAAGCTTGGGAAATTAAACCACCTCGTGTCAGCTCATTTACGGCACAAATAAATGCCGTTATCACTCGTCAAGAAGCAAAACGACGGCAGCAACGACAACTACTGCCCGAATCTCTTTCACGTCGTATTACTACGGCCACTAGTTCAACGTCTGCTACTTCAACATCTTCAAGATCTCTTTCCTCAACGCCCCTATTCAGTTTCAGTACTAATCGCATTCGTGATAACAGAACACTATCCCACAGCGCTTGTTACAGTGCCTGTAATAATGGATAGCCTAACTGTTCATAGGGCAATGTGTAGCCCCCGTTGCTGCTTTAATATTGACTCAATAATTCTGTAAATGTAAGTGATTGGCCATTATTAGTTTGTGAAGATCGTCGTAATAAAAAAAATGATTTGACGTTTAACATCAGCATACATTACTACAATGGATTATCTAACAACAATCTACGAGGAGGAAATCGGCTACGAAAGGAAGGATCAATCAAATTAGAATGATTGTTAAGCATCATTCCTGTTCCTCGACCTTCATCACAGTACTTGAATGTGATTCTTAGAGAATTTATTCAACATTTTGAGCGCGACATCTACAACCTCTTCTAAATATTTTATTCATTTGCAAAGTTTGAACCGAATCTTGCAGACCCTCTTCTTACCATTCTCTGACAAGACTAAATCGTGTCTTTTGTAATGCATGAACCATTCACACAGAGAGAACTATTTGATTGATGCACATGCCCTCTCTTTGCTTTTTTTCGCGAAAAGTCGCTGTCTCTGCCTTGCACAAGGGACACTTGAGTAGCTGCTTTCATTTGCGCCGAAAGGATTCCATAAGAAAATGGAGAATGACGCGCTTTGTTGACTGTGAGCAGTGGTTTCTTTTTGCAACTTCCAAGAAAAACAGCACACAGTCAATATTCAGGTGAAGTGGCGTTGAATCAGTAAACGTTGACAACGATGAAAATGTCGTACAGAAAAATGGTTTTGTACTTTCTAAATGAAGTCTGATTCACATTTTGCAAAAGACAGACAAAACACTTTTCACATGAAAATAACGATCGAAGTGTTCTGTCGATATTCCTTGAGAATAACTTCAATAATTCCATTTTTCTATGTGATCGAGATCGACAACTATTTTTCAAGCGAACTTCGTAAAAGAAAAGATTTTTCCAAAGTGATTTCGAACGCTGAAACGAGACATCACTGGTCAACACCGCTATCATTGTTTAGGAACATTCAAATCTAGTGTGGTCTAATGGAGAAGGTTAGATTTGATTTTCATAGGAAAGAAACGAATGAGATCTGTGTAACAGCAACAATGTTTTTGATCAAATCAATTTTGTCGACAACGAAATGATCGAAAAACTTTTATCGAAAGAATAATTGATTTTTCGAAGAATGATTCATCAAAACTAGCTCAACAGAACAAATTGATCATTTTCGAGAAATATTTCTTATCTATTTTTGAGCAAAAACATTTTGAAATTTATCGATTCTCACATTAAAAACATCACCATTCAGATATTTTCAATGGGTATCGCATGTTTTTTTTCAATCAAATTATCATGGCGCATTGATTTGATTAAACAGTTTAACGAATATTACGTTATTATGTCCATAGCATTAATATCTGCCGTATATTTTAAATTAGAATCAGTCTTTAGTTATCTATGAATAGCTGTCAATTATTCAACATTTTGGCTGCTCAATAATCAATCTTGTATACCCTTTTATTAATACTGATGGTCAGATCAGATCTATCATGGCAATTTTCGATATTTGAAAAAGTGTACATCTGTGTCGCATGTTTCGACTGATTGACTATTCAATTGTGATCAGATGCGAATTTTTCCGACGAACTGCCATATGAACGGTCGGATGCTCAGATATGTATTCTATTTTGCAGCTTACTGGTTGTTTGATAGAAGCCAAGCATCTTCCGCCGTTTTTTGAACTGTGAACGCATCGAAAAATTTTTCTTGGGAAAAATTGTTGATATTTGAACCGCAAAAAAAGATAGATTATTGTCAAATTCATGTTTACATAATAAACAGTAGAGTGAACTCTGTGATAGTTGTGCTTGCTTGATCGAAATAATTTCGTTTCTTAAAGATCTTTTGCATGAAACATAAATATTCTTGTTTTTGGTATTCGAGAAGTATAATGTTCTCCTATGGTCTTACATGTATATCAATCTTCGGAAATTCGCAGATCTGAAATCTTAGTTCCATAAGAAACAAACTCGAGTCATGTTTCCGAATAGCTGAAAAGTGCTCATAAAACCGAAATCGAGACTGAGAAAAAGTCACTTTGTCATGCTCTAGCGGTCGTCGAAAAAACAGTGCTATCGAAATATCACAGAGAGAAACGGGTACTAAAAGAGACAAACACCAACTTTACGAGAGGTAACAACTGATCAAGAACCAATATTCTTCCTTCCATTTAAAATAATGGTTGATAGAATTTCATTAATTTCATTTTTAAAATTTTGAAGAACATTTTTTATTTGTTCATTTATTAATTTCATAATATAATGTTGATTTAGAACCAGAATGATACAAAAAAGAAAGAAAAAATATCAAAAAGTCAAGTTTACCAGAACAAGAAGAAAGAAAATTAAAACCATGAGTAATCCTCTCTTTTCAGTTTAGCGTGATATAAGAAACAAAAAAAATGAAAGAAAAAAGATGTTGTTTTATTTCCTTGACTGAAAGCATGTGCCCGCACATTATTTTTCACTGTACGACAAAATTATGTTCTTTCTTAAACGGTGTTAAAAAAAATTAAAGTGCAAGAATAATGTCGCTTTAATAGCAAGAGGTAAAACGATGAATTTTTTAGTAACAGAATTTTCGATTTTTGATGACGAAATAATAAAAAAATAATAAAGCAAGTTATCATAAGTGTGATATTTTCGAGCGAATTTTTTTGATAAAGAGCATTATGTTTTTGGTATTCGGGAATAAAAATGCAAAATCTCAATGCATTCTTTTTTCCCAGCATATAGGGTATGAACTGGCTGATTACGTATCTTATATATGAAATTCCGAAAGTAAATGTGACGTGACGCATTTGCACGCTTGCAGTTTTTCTGAGAGAACGAGTTTTTTTCTTTCTTTTCCTGTGCAATATGGTGAAGAACTGAAAAAATGTCTTTCTCGTTTCATTTTAAAGCCGTATCAAATAAGGCATATCTACTTCTTCTATCGATCTCGCACATGCTGCGCATTTCTGTTTTGACAAACAAGAACACGAAAAATTCTCTATCCTCTTGCATGGTTATATGTCGGAAAAGAAAAGCAGACTAAATCTAAGAGCAAGTAAAAATAAGTTAGAGCAAGTTAGAATTTCGTCACAAGTTGTGATGACTCTTTAGACGAACGTTCTGTTGTGACTCACAACAGAAATGCGCAGCATGTGCGAGATGGATAGAAGGAGTAGATATGCCTTATTTGGTACGGCTCTTTTCTGCGTCTCGCAAGTATCTACATCACTTTTTGTTAGTTTGAATTAGAATAATATTTTGACAGCAAGCAGTACGATTGATAATGAGCGGAACACAATTCAGAGAAGTTGATGAAATTTGCAGTGAATGTGATGATTGTGCTTTATGGTATTGCGTGCAAGACGATGCAGTTTTCTGCGACAAACACAATTCTCAAGCGCACACAATGAAAGCCACGAGAAACCATCGAGTAGTGTCGATCAACGATAAGCAAAGAACTAAGAGTGAAAATTAAGCAAAACCGTCAAACTGTAAACGTCACCACATGCCAATGTGTCTGTATTGTTTATCGTGTAAAGTAAGTGTTACATACATTCGCTGAACCAATATTTCGAAAAATAATGACTGTAAAATAATGAGAGGTTATCTTAAATTTTAAATGTCATTGTCGTTACATTTGACCAGTATGCAACATATCGTCTACTTTCAAGATAACACTATGGGAAAATTTTGAAAACTTTTATAGAAAAAAAAAGCTCATTTTATGTAAATCCTCCTCTGTGTTTCACTAAAAGAAGCACAACAAGCGAACATTCAGGCAGACATGCAAAAGCCGAGCGAATAATATAAATTTCGCACACTATGAACAAAAGTTAAACTGGAAAATTGTCGCAGTTAACGGATTAACTATATAATTTTCCGTTTATCAGTTAGCCTCGTCCTAACTTATTTTCTATTCTTCTCTCATAGGATCCCATGTCGCCAAAACCAAAAAATTTTTTCAAATTTTACGCAGAAAAACGCATGCAAAAACTTAAGTGAAGTAATGCAAAATATGGTTACACGAGCAAAATAAATACAATATTTTGTGTAAAAAAAA